GAGAGGGAAGGAGAGGAGGGAAGACGGACGGAGGGTTTGGAGAGAGGCAAGGAGAGGAGGGAGGGCAGAGAGAATGACAAAAAAGCGAATGAGTGCGGGGGAGGACAATGAGGGGATTTGGAGAGAGAGAGTGGGGTTTGTCAAATGAGGGAAGAGCGGTCAGAGGGATTTGGTAGAGGGAATCTGGATCTTAGAATGTGTGTGTTTGGAAAGAGGGAAGAGGGGAGGAAGGATAGAGTGAAGCTGAAGGTTTGGAGAGAGGGTATAAGGGAACGGAGGCATGGTTTGGAGAGAGAGTCAACGAGGAGATAGAGTATGGAGGGAGAGACTTTGCTTTGATATGGAGGACCGAGGGAGACAGAATTTACCGAAAGGGAAGGGGGCAGGAAAGTGATATAAAGGCGCAGAGAGTGAGATGAGGAGAAGGAATGAATGGAAAGGAGAATCTCAAGGGACGGAATGAGAGAAATTGAGTCAAAAGCAGAAAGCATAAAGAACAAGAGAATGAATACGGATGTGTCTGAGAAGAACAAATAATGGAGGGATAAGCAGCATGGTTTTAGAATTTTTGAATCTTTAAAGTGAAGAATGGTTTGCAGTCAAGTGTATAGCTTTGTCCAGCCTGGTGTTGAATCTCCTGAATGCTGTGAAGTAGTGAACAGACATTTGGGGCTAAGGTGAGTCACTTGGTGCAGGATACCTTATCTTGACTATTTATTTATGCAGCTGGTCCAGTTAAGTTTTCTGAACAATAATAACCATTAGGAAAGTAATTCTTCTGGATTTGCTGATGATAATGCTATTGAATGTCAAGCAGATATAGTTTGTGTCCGTTTTTATTGGAGATGGTTATTGTTTGGCATTTGAGGGGTAAATATTACATATTTTATGAAATATACTTTTCACTCAAAATGAAACATGGAATTCTGGATAAACACCTCAGCTCAGACACATACCCATATGATCTGGTTGTCATAAGAGGAGAGGCGCGAACAGAAATCTGTTGAGGTGGGAGTGAAAAGATGTTAAAAAGACAGCTGCTGTTTGAACTGGAAGCTGATGTGGTAGGGAGAAGTGAAATTCCATTGGCGAGCTAGGAGTGACTGTGGGACTGTTCTTGAAATGCTACAAATCTGTTGGAAGTATGGCGCACAATGAAACATATTTTGTAAATGGAAAAACATGCTTCCTTCAGATTAATGTATTAGTTGCCACTCAGTAATGTTTGATCTCTGTTAATTTTTAGTTTTCTGGCAAAGAACAATTCTTAACATCTTGTCCTTTTGGTTCTTCCTGTCAGTTGCAGGGGAAATTCATCTCTTTATAAAATTTACAGACTTTACGGGAATTGTAACAAACAGGAGACTGTTACGAGATAGATCTCAGTGGCTTTGAAATAGATACCTTGGAATTTTCCATCATTTAAACAAAGAAGATTTCACGTTTCTTTGTGTTGTATTCACAGGAAAGACAACGTGGCTAATTCTACCCCTCAGACAATTTTAGAGACAGATTTGTTAGGAAGTTTACAGTAAAAGTTTTAAAATGTGGGACCCTGTGTTTCAGTTCTAACTATTAGTCACTTGAAAATCTCTTAAGATGTTTTCATTGTCTACAGGGATTGTAATATTCTCTGTTTACAGTAAAAGTTTTAAAATGTGGAACCTTATTTTTCTGTTCCACCTATTAGTCACTTGAAAATCTCTTTTAAAATGTTTTCGGTGTCTACGGGGATTGTAATACTCCCTGTTTATCAGCCTAAGTCTGGATGTTGTCCAGGTCTTTCTATTCATATACATCATTATAAGAGAAATGGTGAAGAAAACTGGATGGAATATTGTGCAATCACCAGCTGTTGCAATCCCCTTGGAGGCTAATAATCTTTTAAATGATATTTAAATTCCCAGTCACTGACTTAGATGATTTGCTTAACATGAGGACTAGCAAGTATAGAAATAGGAGAATAGGGCAGAAGAATACATGACAATAGAGATGGTGCAGGCAGGAGGGATTCCTGGATTACTGGGACCATTTCTGGGAAAGGTTGAACCAGCACAAGTGAAACAGTGTGCACCTGAACCAAAATGGGACCAAAATCCTTGCGCATTGGTTTGCTAGTGCTGTTGGGAGGAGTTTAAGCTAGTTCAGCAGGAGGGTGGGACACAGAGTATTAGGACACTAAGGACACAACTTACTATAATAAAGGAGCCAAGACAGATGGAGTTCAGCTATATTGAATTGCAAGGGTGTAAGAAGTATCATAGGTAAAGCAGATGAGTTAAGGGTGCAGATTGACACATGGAATTCTGATATTGTTGCCATCACAGAAATGTGGTTGAGGAAGGAACAGGAGTGTCAATGCAACATTCTGGTGTTTAGGATCTTCAGGAGAGGTGGGGAGGATGTAAAAGAAGAGGTGGTATTGGGCTATTAATTAAGAAGTTAGTTACTACAATAGGGAGGAATGATTTTTTGCAAGGGTTTTCAAATGAGGCATTATGGATAGAGTTTAGGAAGAAAAAGGGGACTCACATTGCTGGGAGTATATTATGGATCCCCCCCACCCCCAAAGAAAAAGCAGACAAGAGAGGAGCAGATATTCACTGAGGTGTGTAACAATAATAATAGAGTAATTGTATTGTGTTAGGGGATTTCAACTTGCCCAACATTAATTGGGATTTTCAAAGTGTAAAGATTTTAGAGAGGACAGATCTCTTGAAATGTATTCAGGAAAGCTTTTTGTGTCAACCTGTAGAAGATCGAACAAGGAACGGCACAGTGCTGGACCTAATTCTGGGGAACAAAGTCAGACAGATGATTAAGGTGGCAGTGAAAAAGTATTTAGTGAGAGCAACCACAACACAGTGTGATTTAAAAGCCGAAAAACCTGCGGATGCTGTAAATCAGGAACAAAAACAAAGTTGCTGGAAAAGCTCAGCAGGTCTGGCAGCATCTGTGAAGGAAAAAACAGAGTTAACGTTTCGGGTCCGGTGACAGAACAGAACAGTTCCTCAGAAACATTAACAGTGTGATTTAAGTTTGTTATGGGAAAGGAAAATGATGGTCTGCATAAAATGATATCGAATTGGGCGAAAGCAGGATCTGGCCAAAGTAGACTGAAACTGCTATCTGTGGTAACATGTACAACAGAACAGTGGGGTGTATTCAAAATGGAATGGGGAGAGGACAGGACCAACATGTTCCCAATAGGGTGAAATGTCGGAGCAACAAGCCCAGAGAATCCTGGATGCCTAGGAATATTGATGACTGGATAAGAAGAAAAGGAGATGCTTTTGCCAGGTAGAAAAGGAGAAACTGAATGGAGGGAGATAGCAGGAACTGCAGATGCTGGAGAATCTGAGATAACAAGGTGCAGAGCTGGATGAACACCGCAGGCCAAGCAGCATCAGAAGAGCAGGAAGGCTGACGTTTCGGGCCTAGACCCTTCTTCTTTCTGAAGAAAGGTTTAGGCCCGAAACGTCAGCCTTCCTGCTCCTCTGATGTTGCTTGGCCTGCTGTGTTCATCCAGCTCTTCACCTTGTAACTGAATGGAGGCCCTAGTTAGTTCCTGAAAATGCAAGGGGGATCTTAAGAAAGCAATTACGAGAGTAAAGGGGGCATTAAGAAAAAAAACACTGGCGGGTTAAAATGGGCAAAATCCCAAGATAGTCCATTCTACATTAGAGGCAGGAGTAAAGCCCATTAAGGACAAAGAGGGCCATTTGTGCATGGAGCCAGAGGACATTGTTAGGGTGTTAAATGAGTACTTTACATCTGTCATCAATCAGGAGAAGGAGGATGTAGATACAGACTTAGGACTGTTGTGGCACAGTGGTAGTACCCGTGTCTCTGAGCCAGAAGACACAGGCTCACCTGCTTTGGAGGTGTATCATAACACTTCTGAAAAGGTTTATTAAGAAATATCTGTAGATACAGAATTCGGGGAGAGCGAGTATTAGTTTCTTGAGCAGATTGTCATAGGACTTAAGGAGCTATTGGAGGTTTTGGTGTGCTTAAAAATGGACAAATCCCAGGTCTGTATGTGCTATCTTCTAGACAGCTGAGGGAGGTGAGGGAGAAAATTACTGGGGCTCTGACCCAAATTTTTTATTCCTTTCTGGCCACAGGAGTGGTGCCAGAGGACTAAAGGACAGCTGGTTGGATTTTAAGGACTGTAGGGATAAACCAAGAAATTACAGACCAGAGAGTCTTTTGTCAATGGTAAGGAAACTATTGGAGAAATTCTGAAGAAGACAATTAATCTCCACTTTGAGAGGCAAGGTTTGGTCACAGATAGTCAGCAAGGCTTTCACAGAGGGAAGTCATACCCAACAAATTTGATAGAATCTTTCGAGAAGATGATCAGATGTGTACATGAGGGTAGAGCTGTTGATGTACTTTATGCAGATTGCAGCAGAGCCTTTCACAAGATCCTACATGAAAGAAGGTTAAAACATAAGGGATCCAGGGTAACTTGGCAAGTTAGATCCAAAGATAACAAGGTGTAGAGCTAGGTGAACGCAGCAGGCCACATGAACACATCTGCAGTTCCTACTATCTCTGAAACAAGTTATATCCAAAATTGGCTTAGTGGTGAGAGAAAGGGAATTGTAGCAGAGGCTGTTTATGTGACTGGACAAGGATCAGTGCTGGGACCT